GTGCTGTGGGCTCTGGCAGCTCAGAGGGGGTAAGGGAAGAAGGGGAGGGTGGGGGCTTGGCACCTTCAGAACAATAGCCGAAGCCTGGCCTCTCCCCCACCCCCACCCCCCACGCCGCGTGCTCAGGCCTGGCTCACATGCTCAGTCACTGCGGCGGCGGCGGCGGGGCGGGGTGGGGGGATTGAGGGGAATTTAGGGGCTGGGGGCTCCCTCCTCGGAAGCTTGAATCCTGAAGGGCAGAAAGGAGGGGGGTATTTTTACCATAGCACACACTCCTCCCCCCCCCAGCACAGCCTCATACAGAAAATAGTGACACACAGCGTTACGTAGGACATGAAGTCACACACACATATACACACAACAGCCCTAGTGGCCCAGATACATCCGGGAAGCGCCACGCATACCCAGCCAGACAGTGGCCATAGGTCAGAGACCTGTACAGACCCACGGGGTCACCCCCAATGTCACACAATAACAAATAAACCCACAGGTACACTATTTTGTACACCAAATAAGATGTGACCCGTATGGTTACCTGTAACACACATGATTTTGCTACCAGAGATGCATACAGACACACGTGGCAATGACATCCATGCATCGTGTTACAACACATGATATCATCTAAGCATGTCACATGCTACGTCACACGGAGGCCAGAATAAATAGACACAGGTTCTCTTGCCGAACATGAAATACATAATATTGCACATTATCATGTGCAAGACTCATACAGGGATTGTCACACACAATCGCATGCTCAGACATGCCCATCGTCACAGGGTGTTAAGCCTACACACAGTAAATACCACTCGTGGGCACTCACGGTGAATGTCACATGCAGACACAAGGACAGCATCTCATACACACTTTGCTGCATAAAGACGTAGACACAGCTGGAGCAGAAATCATGCATCACACAGATTTACAGCACACACTGGCATTTCCATCATGCACCAGTGACATCACACATCGTGTCATATAGACACACAAAAGTACAGGTTGTGTCACACAAGTCAAACACAAGGACCGTCACACATGATGTCACACTAGTGTGGATGTGCCCAGTGCTGAACTCACACACTGGGTGCCTGCCACGCATGGATACAGCATATGTCTCGCACAGACCTAGACATGCAGACACTCGGTGTCTCCAACAGTGTCACACAGACAACATGACTGTCACTCCATGATGGAAATTATACCCCATATGGTCACACATGGCTCCCACGGGATGTCTTTCACATACACGTCCCACCTGCATCCCCTCCATTCAGTCTTGTATCCTCCTTGACTGTCTCCTCCTCTGAGCAGTTTTCTGGGGGCCCTTCCCAGAATGGGAGGGCGGCTGGTTGGGCTCACAAACTCCCTGGGCTGCGGCCTGGCACCTTTGCCTCCCCTTCCCTGCAGCTGCCGTACCAGTAACCGGAAGAGCCTCATCCTGACCAGCACGTCGCCCACGCTGCCGCGACCCCACTCCCCACTGCCTGGACACTTGGGTGAGACAGGTGGGGGGTGTGGACCAGACTAGAGGAGGCGTGGCCACAGGAGAGGGGTGTGTCCCTGCCGCAGGAGGGGGGGCGGAGTCTGGACAGAGGCTAGCGTGGTCAGTCCTCAATGGGGCAGTTATTGGTTTGCGGGGCTGGATTGTTAAGGGGACGGGGGCAGAATGAAGGGTCCATACCTGAGGGGCGTGGCTATGGCAGAGGAAGGCAGTATCGACCTGAAGGGGCTTGGCTAGCTCCGTATCCAAAACACCTTCGGAAGGCGGGGCCACAGCGCAGGGGGCGTGGCCCACTCCCTCTGGGACTGGGCTAAAGAGGAAATAGCTGCTGCTTGCAGACGCTTTGGGGGTCAGGAAGTCTGATGGGGTTGCAACCAGCCCAGCCTGAAGATCCCCCTCTTTCCGACACAGGTAGCAGTCCCCTGGATAGCCCCCGCAACTTCTCCCCCAACACCCCCGCCCACTTCTCGTTTGCTTCTTCCCGAAGGTGAGTCCCTGTCCGCTGGGCCCCAGAACCCTGTCGGACCCTCCCCACCCACCGTCTGGGCTGCCATCTGTTCCCTTCCTAATTGGGCCTGAGTCAGGACCGGAGGGCTCCGCTGAGTGCCCCCAGGTCCCCGCGGGAACCAGCGCCCAGCCTGGGGGGCGGGGCCTATAGGGGGTGGGGCCAACCGCCTCTGGGAAAGCCGGGGCGGGAGCGGGTTTCCTTCGCTGAGCAGCGGAAGCCCTGGGTCGGCCTCGCGCCCCGCGCTCCTGGCCAGGTGTTTCCATAGCAACAGGACGGGGGACAACAGAGATGAAGTGCGCAAGCGCAGACTCCGCGGTGCCCTTCTAGGAACTCTGGCTGCCCATTGTGGGGGAGGGCACCTGGGGCCATTTCTTGAGCGCCCAAGAGGAGCAATCTCAGGTTTCCCTCTGGGGAGGGGGTGTCTGCGTGTTTCTGGAGTGTCTGTAAATGCATTTTCTGGGGCCGCTGGCAAAATTGGCGGAGGCCGAGAGATTCCTGGAATATTTGGGAGAGAAACTTCTGGGAGTCGCCAGTGTGTTTGGAGGGGTCTCTTTTTCTTTGAACTTGACTCGTTCTAAAAGCGTTGTCCGAACACATGCTGTGTTCTGGGAGGTGAGCATAGGGGAACGACACCCCCTCTGTCCACAGAGTTGAGTTGGGGTGGCCGGCCAGAGAACCAGGATTACTGCAAAGGCCGGTGAAGACTGTGGTGGGGGTCACAGGAGACTGTGAGGACAGAGGGCCTTTCCCTGGGGAGAGTGGAGGAATGAAAACCAGAAAATGGCTCCAAGATTGGGCCTAATGTGGTCACCGGCGCGGAGGGTGGGCTGAGCCGGGCAGTGTCCGAAAGGAGGAAGGGGGGAGGAGTCCAGTGTGCGGGAGCGTGTCCTTGTGACTGTGCCCTCGATGTATGCCAATGTGTGGGAGTGTAAGTTTGTGAGGTTGTGAATATGTGACGCAGCCTGTGCCTACACATGTGTCCATGGAGAGTGTGTATCGGCATGTGAGCGTGAATGTGTGTGAGTGTGTATGTGTGTGTCTACCTGAAGGGTTGTCAATGTTTGTGAATGTGTGAGGGAATACGCACCTCCCTGTGTGTCTCCATGTGAGTGCGTAATCTATGTGGGAGTGTGAATGAGTGTGTGGCTGTGTGAGAGTTTGAATGGGTGACAGTGCGTGAGGGTATCTTGAATGTATGTGTGAATGGGAAAGAGAAGAGAGAGCGTGTGTGTGAGGGAGTGTGTAGCTGTGTGTGTATTAGAATGCAGGTATTGGGGTTTTTGTGTCTGTGTGTATATGTGGTTGGATGTTGGATGCCTGATTTTGCAAGGGCAGTTGTGTTAGGGTGGAAAAGTGTGGTATTTGGGTCCAGGTATGGTTCACATGTGAATGTGTGTGACTCAGTCCATGAGCACTAGTCACACTAACACTAGTGGGTGTGGCCAGGAGAGTGACTGTGTCTGATGGGAGAGCCTGTCTCCGTGTGTGCGTGTCTGAGAAGAACCAAGGGGTCTGCTTCTGTGAGCTTTCTCATGGGGGGGTCGTCTGGGGTTGATTTTTGGGGTCCTCTGGGGTAACTTTTTTGAGTGGGCTGTTCTGGTCCTCCTTGGGATCCTTGCTGGGGGCCAGTGTGGCCTGAGTATGGCAGGAGAGGATTATGGGAAGGAGCAGAGGAGACTGGTGCCTGACTAGACGACTTCCCCTTTACCTCCTTGACTTGGAGGGCCTCCGGGAATCTCAGAGCACAGATATGCTCCCCCATCCCCTGCCCTGGCCCTGGCCGGTGGCTTCTCTCACAACCTGACAAGTGGAGGGGACTGGTGGGCCCTGGTAGCCTCTGAGCACCTTGGCTGGATTCCAGGGCGGACGGACGCCGTTGGTCTCTGGCTTCGCTCCCTTCGTCTGGCTATGGCACCAACACACCCAGCTCCACTGTCTCGGTGAGTGTCGTCTGCGGGGGCAGGGGATCCTCCAACCCAAAGGCCCACGCCCAGGCCAGCAGCTGGGCTGGCCTTATTGGGTGTTTTGGGTTTTTCTTGTCCTCGGAGAGTCACCTGTCCATCTATTAGTGAGTTGCAGGTCTCACCCTTCCACCCTCCAGCCCTGTTCTCTACCCTCACTATAGCTTCTTGGGGATCCTATTCATCACCAACTTATTTTTACAGATAATGACATGAAGCCATTTGCCAAGTGTCCAAAGCAGGCCACGGCCAGTGTCTGCCCTTTATCCAGAGCCCATTTGCTCACCCACTGCAATACCCAAGATCCTCTGTCCATCTGCCCTCTTTTCCACCTGTGTGTCTGGTTTGCTCATCCAGCCACTGGAATGCTGTGGAGCAGATATTTAGCATGTGACTATCATGTGGTGGGTGAGCTCTGCAAGCTGAGCAGGGTCCAAGGATTCACAAAGCACTCATGGAGGGAGACAGACCAATAAGAAGGCATTTACAATGGGGGATGGGAGCTGTGATGGGAGTAGTGTAAGGGGAAGTGGTAGCAGAGAGGAGGCAACTGACTTAGCTAGGGGAGGGTCAAGTAGGCTTCCTGGAAGAGTTGGCATTGAAGCCAAGACGAAGGATCAAAAAAAATTTGGCAGTGAAGAAGGGAGGGAATGGTGTTCAAGGAATGAGGAACAACAGAGAACTGGCCACATTGGGAAAGTTGAAAATAACCATGTGCAGTTGGACTTTGGGTTGGAAGGAGAGGAGTCAAGGTGAGGCAGGCCAACACCCTGATTATGCGAGGGCCTGTTGGCCAGGGCAGGGAGGTGGATTTTATTCTAAATGTAGGGGAAGTCATAGAAAAGCTTTTTTTTTCTTCTGTATCCTATTAAAATTTCAATCTGAACTATTTGAAATTGTGCTTTTGCAGGTCATAGATTATGTGCTTTTAAAAATGATTTTAATAGATACTGATGGGGTAGAGAGTTTTAGGCAGGGGAGTGAGTGATGTGATGTTTAAAAAGAGCATTGTGGCCCTAGCCAGTTTGGCTCACTGAATAGAGCATTGGCCTGTGGACTGAAGGGTCCCAGGTTCGAATCCAGTCAGGGGCACAGGCCTGGGTTGCAGGCTCGATCCCCAGTAGGGGGTGTGCAGGAAGCAGCCGATCAATGATTCTGTCTCATCATTGATATTTCTAGCTCCCTCTCCCTCTCCCTTCCTCTCTGAAATCAATTTTAAAAATATTTTTTAAAAAGAGAATTCTGCCTACAGAATCAAGTGGATGTCCTTGTGTCTCTCCACTGATATCTGTGGGTCTGTGTTTGCCCTGATTGCATGCCAAGCCCTGACCAAGGACCCAGCAGAGCCAATCATTGTCCTCAAGCAGAGCAGCCAGTAATCCTATATAATAAAAGGGTAATATACAAATAGACTGGATGCAGAATAACTGAACAACCAATCAAAGTGTAATATGCTAATGATATGCTAAGGATGCTCAACCGCTTGCTATGACATGCACTGACCACCAGAGGGCAGTCAACTGGTCAACCAGTTGCTATGATGTGCACTGACCACCAGGGGGCAGATGCTCCCACCGGTAGGTTAGCTTGCTGCTGGTGTCTGGCCAAAGGGGACTGAGCAAGATGGGCCAGACACACCCTGGAGCCCTCCCCAGTCCAATCATGCACTAGTGGGGTCCCTCAGCCTGGCATGTGCCTCTCCAATCTGGGACCCCTCGGGGGATGTTGGAGAGCCGGTTTCAGCTGATCCCGCAGGCCACTCCCCTTGGGAGGGTGCCAGATGCTGGGGCGAGCCCTCCCAATTGGGACTTATGGGGTGCAAGCCCACAGCAGGTACAGTGGGGCCAGGATGAGCGGGAGTGGCAGGTAGGAGCTGCAGGCGGCATTGGACTGCAGGTTTCAGCCTGCTCCCTGCAGGCCACCCAGAGGCACCCATGTACAAATTTGTGCACCAGGCCTCTAGTAACAAATAAATACGTAGAGGAGTCAAGGTAATGCAGGTTGAGACCCTGATTTTCCTGGGGCCTGTTGCCCAGGGCAGGGAGGTGAATTTTATTCTAAATGTAAGGGGAACTCATAGAAAGGCTTTTTACATAAAGATGTAATAAGTCAGGAGATAAATACAGCAAGAAGAAACAAGAGAGGGTTACTCTTTAGCTTTCTCATCTCCCTCTCTCTTCCCCCTCTCCTCCCCCTCTCCTCCCCCTCATCCCCCTCTCCTCCCAGAAAAAAAAAAAGAAAAAAAGAAGAAGAAACAGGAGAGGGTAAGCATAGGAAGAGATAGGTGTGTGTTCAGAGGAGGCCTCTCTGAGAGGTGACTTTTAATCCATAGTAGATGTGCTCCAGGCAGAGGGAACAGTCAGTGCAAAGGCCCGGAGGCAAGAGTGTGTCTGCCTTGTTCAAGGTTTATCAAGAAAGCCATAGCCCAGCTGGCACGGCTCAGTGGTTGAGCCAGTTGACCTATGAACCAGGAGGTTACGGTTAGATTCCCAGTCAGGGCACATGCCTGGGTTACAGGCTCAATCCCCAATGTGAGGCATGCAGGAGGCAGCTGATCAATGATTTTCTCTCATCATTGATGTCTCTCTCTCTCTCTCTTCCTTCCTCTCTGAAAAAAAGAAGAGAAAAAGAAAGCCATAGCTCTGTGGCTGGAATAGAGCAAGTGAGGGGGAGAGTGGGCAGAGGTGATGGCAGAGGGACAGGGCCAGATGTTAGTGCAGAACCTTGTGGGGTGTGGGAGGGACTTAGTGTTCATTCTGAGTAAAGTGGGAGCCATGGCGGGTTCTGAACGGAGAAGGGATGTGACTTGACTCTCCGGTGTTTACAGGCTCTCTCTAGTCACATCTGTCTGTGTTACTGTTACCCGTGTCTGTCCTCGTCCCTCTGTTGCCTGGAGTCCCATCCTGGGCCCTGGGACATCCAGGATCCTGGTCCTAATCAGGCCCTAATACCAACCTTGCCAGTAGTCCATCCACCCCAGGAACCCCAGGCCAGGGTCCCAGGATGTGAGGGGCCGGCAGTAGCTCTGACCCTCGTTCTGCCCCTTCCCCAGTCTTCCTGCTCCTCCCAGGAGCGCCTCCACCAGCTGCCCTACCAGCCCACCGTGGACGAGCTCCACTTCCTCTCCAAACACTTCGGCAGCACCGAGAGCATCACGGATGAGGATGGCGGCCGCCGCTCCCCAGCCGTGCGGCCCCGCTCGAGGAGCCTCAGGTGGGCCGGCATCCCCCAATTCCAAGCGAGTCTGGGGGCTGGTGCACCGCGAGACCCCGGTCCCCGCGAACAGGCGGGGGACTGGACAGGATGGGCTTCTCTCCTACAGCCCCGGACGCTCCCCCTCCTCTTATGACAACGAGATCGTGATGATGAACCACGTCTACAAGGAGAGGTTCCCGAAGGTGAGGCGGGCTCTGGGGCGGCCAGGTGGCCGGGCGGTCGGAGC